GACCTGGGGATAGCTCTTCCAAGCCATCCCAGGACGTCCAAGGCAAACCTCTTCTAGACCAGATACCAAGTACTCCAACAAGACCCACAGGAGAAGAAACGATTTCTTCTGGCCTCCAAAGAGCACTAAGAATGTTGCTATCTACACTAACCAAAACCAAGAGAGACCTGGAGGCTGGGAACACTGCCCAAAGCCAACCTCATCTTATCCTGCCTTGCTCCACTCCCTGAAGGGCTGCCTCAGATACAGCTTCCTGAGCAGTAATCCTATGACAAGGAATGGGCAGGGAGTGCTGTGGAGCTGAACAGAGACCTGCGGACCCTGAGAAGCCGCAGCACTGGCTGGCAGCTCCCAGCTGCATCAAAAGGCCATGGTTTGCTCCCTCTAGTGAAATGACCCTTCTAGAAAAGTGCTGTGTCTGGACCGCCAGTTGCTCTCACGTCCTTGCGGCCTCTGAGCTCCAAGCTTTGATGGTGTGGCCCTTTCCTCCCGGTCTGCTCAACTTCATGTGCAGCCAACCAGGTACCACCTATGGGGCTCACAAGATAGTATTTTAAACTGACTACCCCACCAGATCCAATGGCAAGACTCTTGGCTTGGGTTCCTCTTCTCATTCACCATCTTCCCTCTCCTTCCCCTCCATACCTTGCCAACTGCCTAAGAAATCTACCTAGTCCAAGGCCACTTGCCCCCTCTTGCTGGAAGCCCTCAGGGTGCTTCCTTCCAAGCTTTACCCCACAGGATTCCAAGCCTCCTGGAGTGTCACTCTGTGCTCAAGCAAATGATGCTCCTCCTGCATCTCTTGAGCACTGTGGTCCAAGTGCCTTCCTGCTCTACTCACCTCTCTCCCCCGACCTCCCTGAGCCTCAGCACCTTCTGTCCACCCCTCAAGCAGGTGAGGCTCTCCCACCACAGCATCTTTGCACCCTGCCTCCTCTTGCTGGAATGCCGTCCATATTCAGCTCTCTCCACACCTGGGGTTGAAGCAGTGCTGCGGGATAACTAAGGTGCTGCTGGTGAATACACGGTCATCACACATGAGCATGTTTCTGCTGAGCCCTGTGTGGAGAGAGGCTGTGGGTAAGTGTCTGCCTGTCTTTCCCAGACTAGAATGCCAGATCTTCAAGGGCAAGGCTTCTGCTGCTCTGGATCCCTATTTTCCCCTATGACTGAAAGCATAAGTTACGTCCTGTACTCACAAGAGCTCTGCAAGATCGGCTGGATTTCCCTTTCAACCCTGAGGTAAGACACTCAGTGAGCTGGTCACAGAGAGTAAGGGCACAGCCAGCATCCATGCTGGGACTGGACCCTAAGAGTGCATTCACCACAGGCCCTGCAACGTGGCCCTCAGGTCAAGGGTGCTCAGTGGCATCTGCTCATGGCCGTGCTTCCAGGAAACAGGACTCCATTTATGCCTTTCTCCCCCTCTATCCAGGCACTTTCTCCATCTTCAAACCCAGCATAGATATACCTAAGTACCCAGGACCAAGGCTACGTGCCTGCCACACTCATCAGAGGAAAGGGGAACCTTCTGTTCTGATGGCTGACAGCTCTCTCGTGCCCCTTGCTGAGCTTTGCAGAGCCTGCCCACAGAGGCCCCACTGCTATGTGCAGTCACTCAGCAGCCCTCGGGAAACAGCACAGTTTGCATATTTCCAATGGTACTCCTGATCAGTGTGCACACGTGATGAACATGATGCCTCCAAGTGTCATTTTCTCAGGCTTCAAAGCAGGCAGTCTTTGTGTGAGTAAATATTGAGTTGACGCTAAGAGGGGAGTGAGCTGTTAAGTTCTATTTGCTACTTTCATCCCTGAGCTCATAACAGAGCATAAGCTAAACAAAGAGCAGCGGACGCTGGCACAGACCTTCGGCAGGTAGAGCCATTTCTGTTGGTCCTTCGCACATCAGCGATTTGCTTCCCCAACTTCGGCAAATATTTACCACTTTGGTTTTTATGTAATGGAAGGATAATGTATTCCACTGTCCTCAGAGCTACCTTAAAGGCCTTAGGAAAACAGGCAATTTACTGACTATGTTTCTCTTGCCACTAAATACAAATCTGGTAATTGTTTATCTTTGAAAGCAAATGGCTTTAACTTTTTGGCTTCAAATAGTCTAACAGAATTCTTAAAGAAAAAAGAGTAAGAAAACCATAATCACAGCAACCTGACAAAGAGCCTGAGTTTTACATCTAAACTGTCACCCACACATGCTCACGGTGACCCACAAGCCCTGAAAGCCTTACTGCAAGTACAATCTAACTTCTAACGCTGCCGTGATGGTGAGACCCACAAGAAGACTCTAGCTACTGCCCAAGCTGATCCAGACCAGGACTGCCATCAGGCACATCCATTTCCATCAGCTATCTCCTGGTCACCTGCCTATGGCACAAACCAGTGGACATAACCAGGAAATGTCTGGAAGCAATCCAATGCATGACAGATTACCAAGTGGCTATACTGTGATAATCAGCATTACAGCAATTATACAGAACAGCAGTAAGGCAGTCCATGCTGCAGCCAGCACTCTAGTGGTCTACGCACTGTCTCCTTCCAGCTCCAGGCACACTTTGTAGATGAGCAAGGACACTAATAACTAGGCTCACAAGTTAGCAAGCCTGCTCAAGGTCTCCACCCAGGCAGCCAACTCCAGAGCCTCCTCACAAGCATGGTGGGATCTGCTTCCTCCCTACACATTTGTCAGGCTTGCTGCAAAATCTGAGCAGCTAACTGACAGCCCCTGTTCAGCAAAACATGGGCGCATGGTGTACAGGACAAGGAGAAACATGATTCCAACTTCACCAAGGAGATTCTGCTCCTTTCCTATGAGAAACACTGCTTTCCTATCTTGGTGAAAGGAACTTCCACCCATCTAGCTCTATGCCAAGCCTAAAAACACCACCTTGTCTGTAGTGCCCTCCCACCCCAGGTGAGAACTGCTCTATAGACACCATCATCCGTACAAGGTCCTAAGCTGGAACAACAGAAAATTGGGGGCAGCCTCCATCCCCATCAGTAGAGGGCTTGTAAAATAAACTGTGGGATACCCACTGAGCGGCATGTGGCTCTCTAGGAGCTACTCTGTAAATACATACAATTCAAAAAGTGAGTTGTGGACCAGCATGTGCATCTGGGTGGATGAAGAAAAAGTACTGCATAAATGCACAGACTCCAAGGCACCGCTCTACAGACTGCTGCTTAGGTTCTGAGAGAAGAGGAAAGGAAAACGGGAATAAGGATAAGAGGAAAGAACCCGCATCCCAACATGATGCTCCTGCCGACCCAATGATGCTCACCTGGACCCAATCAGAAACAGAGGAACATTGACAAGCAACTGCCTGCACAGCTTGAATGTGCTGAGAGGAAAGCACAAGGAAGGGGAAACTAGCATTCCAGGCTCACAGAGGTATTAGAGCAGAGAGGACTGTGGGGAGGGTGCCATCAAGCTCTGGGTTGTGGACAAGGAAACAGGAGATTTAATGAACACTCTTGGGTACCGCTGGTAAATGTGAACACACACTGCGCATCCTCACGACACAGAAAACAGCACTGTGTCAAGGCTACATTCTTTATACTGAATAAACTACCTTCGTGCTCTCAGGAAGTACACGCAAAGCTCTCGGGAGTACATGGGAAGTTGACTCTAGCTGACTCTGGTTCTGGGAGCACAAACACAGGCACAGACAGAGAATGGTGAATGGGAAAAATGCAAACAACTGGTAAAACTGGGTGACATGTGCTTAGAAACTGATTACTATCCTTGAGACTTTTCCTAAGTATAAAATTACATACAAATGTTTCTAGCAATGTTCACAGACCACCTCTGACAGAAGGCTCCTGAAACAGGGGAAAGCAGAGGCCTGTTTTCACTCTTCATCCCCTTGTGCTTTGTAATATTGTAAAATATGCATGTGCTATTGATTTTTTAAAAAAAAATTTCAAGCAAGGCATGGTAGTACATGCCTTTAATCCCAGCTCTCAGGAGAGGCAGGCAGATCTCTGTGAGTTCAAGGTCAGCCTAATTTATATAATGAGTTCTAGGATAGCTAGGGCTATGTAGGGAGACCCTGCCTCAACAACAACGACAAAAAAGTTATTAAGCTAAGAGAAAAATTCCATTGTGGAGATTTCAAGACCTAAGGCTGTCCTGATCCAGCCTTGAACATAAGACTTGGCCATCCTCCCTACAGCTTCCCAAACTCATAGATCAGCTTCCTGCAGCCCATCCACAGGCCCCATGTGCCACCTCCTGACCAACATGGGCATTACACTTCCCAGTTATCAGCCCTAAAGGTGCTACTCTGGCTCTGCCTACATCTTTCATGTTCAAAGAATTTCTTTCTCTACTATGAGTGATCCCATGGTCTAGAACACCTCCTGGCCCTCAGAAAATTCAAGCACCTGGTAAACACCTATCTGAGTTCATTCAGCAAATACAAGCTGTGAAAAATGAAAGAATAATTAAATGGCAATTCCACCACAAAGACTTGAAAGCAAGTGTCTTGGTGACTGGCCAGTGTCCACATAAGTACTTCAGGTGACCAGGCAGCTCAAGAGAATTCACTTTGACAACCACCCTCTCTTCCTAGTGCCCACCTGGACCTTACCTGTCATCCTCATACCATCCCCATCCCCATGTCTGCACAGTACAAAGTCAGTAGCTCAGGATGGTAGTCACCCCACCTCAGTCCTCACAAGTCACTGTCAACTCACAGCCTATAAAGAACAAGGACAGCCACGTGCCCAGAATCTAGACCTCGACCTCCCACAGAGGACCACAGTAGGGAAAGTATACTGTAGCATTAAGAAAGAAAATGAAAAGTATATACTAGGAAACTGTATTGGGAATACATTAGTAAACATGTCTAAAGAAATTAAGCAGCCCAGCTAACAGCATCTTAGGGACTCAATGTCAGGAAAACACAACCCAGAGTGTGTGTGCAACCTGTAATGAATGTGTGATCTTGTAAGAAACAGAGAGCCCACCCTCAGGGACTCACCAAGGTCTGTGTTGGGGCCAGCAAGTAGCTGATTGAACTTGTCCAGCCGAGAGGCCTCTCTATTACTCAGGGCTGAGCCACCAAGGGCATGTGAGTCAGATGTCCCACTCAGTGAAACAGTGGCTGAGTAGGGGAGAGACTGGGACCGCTGCAGAGGGACGACATCGCTGGTGCTTTCTAGAAAGGGTAGAAGAACAGAGGGCAAGATTAGCAGGTTAGCAGAAGCCTCTAACCTCCTGGCCACATGCTCACCACGGCACTCACTGTCTGGTCAGTTTTCCCTTCCTCCCATCATCCAGTTTACTGTTTAACAGTAAAGTGGATACATCTGCATATGATCACATCGTGACAACCAGCAAAGTCCAGACCACTCCTCTCCGGGTATGAGATATCCAGAGGCCTGGAAGGTGGATCAGTCCTGTGGAGGAACAGGTTTGCATGGGTCACCCAAGTATACTTGTGGCAGGCAAGCCACTGTTCCATACCATGAAAGAAAAGAATGATGCCCCAAAGCACTGAAGACAGCAGGTACATGACCAGGAGGCTCCAAGAGGACCTGGCCATGTCCAGAGACCATTTGACTCAGTTCCTCCACTCCCCCCACCCCGAAACCTGGAGTTCTAGCATGAAGGAACAAAGGAAGCCAAGCAGGCAAGGAGCCTTCACGGACAAGAGGAGGGGAGACGCCAGCAGAGTGCAAACCTCCCCCCTCTCTCTGTATCTCCTTAGCTGCTGCCTACCAAACAAAACCTTGCAGGTTCAGGGAGTCCGCGAAGGGAGGTGAGGTAGCACGATCCATTCAGGAACCTGGCTAGGAACAGCCCAGAGAGAGCCAAAGATCCCCAGGTCACTCAACACAGAGCCCCAGGGACCAAGGATATGAGGCTGTGGGCCCTGTCACTGCTAGGTCCAACTCCCACCTCCACTTTCAGTGTACAGTCAAAAATGAGCCACAGAAAAGATCTATATCCAACATGCTGGCGTCTACCTCAGGCACTGCAGACCAGCAGGGGCAAGGAACCCCACCTATTCTACTCCCTAGTCACTATAGGCAGCCTTTCAGACAACCTACGAGCAAGACCAGAAGGTTCTGGGCAGAATCTGGTCCAAGAGTTAGCCTAAGGATCTCTGTTCTACCCTTACCCGCAGGCAGCATCCAGAGAAAAACACCCCCCCCAAAAGAAAAAAAACCAGCAAGAACAGGCACTAGAGGTCAAGAGCAGAGTGGCATGGGGAGAGTCTGTGCACGTGTGCATGATGCACATGCATAAACTCGCATCTAGAGTTCAAGAGCAGGTGTCCTCCTCAATCCCGCTCTAGCTTATTTTTGGGGGCAGGTCCTTTTACTGGGTGTGAAGCCCACTGACTGAGCTAGAGTGACTGGCCAGCAAGCCCCAGAATCCTCCATTATCTATGTATTCTAACATCCAAAGCTGTGGTACTTTGACCAGGAATGGCCCCCACGGGCTCATATATTTGAATGCCTGGTCATTATGGAGCTACTTGACAGGGAGTAGGAGGCATGGCCTTATTGAAGTAGGTGTGGCCTTGTTGTAGGAAGTATGTCACTAGGGGTGTGTCACTGGGGCTTTGAGGTTTCAAATGCTCAAAGCAGCCCCAGGGTCTGTCTTCATGCTGCCTGTGGATCCGGCTGCAGAACTCTCGGCTACAAGTCTGCCTGCATCCACTATGCTTCCCGCCATGATGATAATGGACTAAACCGCTGAATGTAAGCAACCCCCAGTTAAATGCTTTCTTTTGTAAGAGTTGCTGTGGTCGTGGGATCTCTTCACAGCAAGAAAACATTAAATAAGACAGATGCCATAAGAAAACATGCCATGGAGGCAGAATCACACACAGCTATCTGGGAGGCACAGGAGAAAGTGACTAGAACCTGGGGTGAGGATTCAATGACCTTCACATTCCTTCTCAATATGAGGAAACATCAGCAATTAACAGGTCCGATCATGGGGGTCTCCTGCAAGCAGTCACGGTGTTCTGAGGTGGTCAGCTGTTATGTTCAGAGGATGCATTCTACAACAATGACCAATAGGGGCTAAGCCCTGGATAGAGAAAGCATACCACCTCTTCGCCACACACTGCTGAAGCTCCCAGAACCAATGTAACCCATTCTGGCAGAAATCCACTGGCCTTACCAGTGGGAGAGTGGGGATACTCAGTCTCTGCCAGAGTCACTGCAGAAATTTGAGCAGCATCCCTGCCACATCCACCATGTTCAGTGCCACAAACACACCCTGCTCCAGCTCTAACACACACTGTCCAACACACTGCCACATGCCTCCTGGGGCCAGGATCTGTGGATGAGAAGCGCTGGTCTCTGCGGTAGCCAGCACTAACAGCAGGGACTCTGGAGGCACAGACCCTGGGTTTAACAACCCCACCCCAGGCCCACCTCTCCTGAGCAGCTCAAGGTCTTCTTAGTGCACATCTGTAAAAAAAAAAAAAAAAAAAAAAAAAAGAACAAAACAACTCCCTCCTAGAAGCCTGAGCAGTTTAAAGAATTTATCATTCAAGGGGCTGGCCACAGAGTGAACAACCACAGCGTGCTATTATTATTATCCAGTTCTCAAACAAATCTCTCCCAGAAAGCCAACACAGGATGCTCAGCGCAAGATTTTCAGGACACAGTGATGAGATCACGGCCATTTCTCCAGTAATATGACTTCCTCACTTGTACGGGAGAGGCTGCCACAATGTGACACCACCAAGCTCTATCACCTGCCTGGATTTGAGTTTCCTTCTGGTCAGGGCTCCTAGTGGTCCTGCCCACTCTCAGCTCCTCCTTCTGGGGTGCTGAGGGCCATCAGCAGTGATAACAGTGCCCTAGATGTACCAGCTATCCCTGGGGGTTGGGGAAGTTTTGTCAATGGCTCTCCTAGCACAGCGGTGAGCAAAAGTATCCAGGGTCCCTGCCAACCCTTGGACGCCACCACTAGAGGGCACCCTACCCAGACTGAGCAGACAGAAGGTGGAAGGGAGCACTCTCCATCAGAACTTTGAAAGAACTCAAAAGCAGCTGCAATTCCCTGGTAAACTCAATTTTTGCGCTGCAGTTTCCCAGTAAACTCAATTTTCTAAATTTGTTACAAATGAAATAAAGCCAACTTCTCACCTGAAAAAAAAATTGTAACATTTTAGCACAACCCAGTTTTGAAAACCAGGCTAGGTACAAAGTGCCTTTCTGAATCTAGCAGGGTGACCTTAGGCTACTGTGTATCTGTTTTCTCATCCATAAATGAGAGAAAAGTACCCTTACCTGGGAGAGGCATGCTTGGGCACTCCAGGATCCTTTCTAAAGGAGCCTGGCATCCCCCATCTCCTATGCTCTCCCATGGTCCTCTTCTTGGGCCCCTACACAAGTCACAAGCCATGTCATTTCCTACGTAGAAAAGATGCCCTCAACTCCAGAAAGTAAAGAACATCTGGACACCATGAGCAACAAGGCTATTTCAGGGCCTGGGAGTACCACACCCACATGAAAGATGGTCCTATAGTCTCTCATGGACCAGAACCTGCTGCAAACAGGCCCTCCTTATTCCAGTCCTTCCTTGGTTCTACTGTCCCTTCGTCCCTACCTGAAGAACAAGGAGTGTGGCTCTCACTGACAGACTTCACCAGGCGGAGGTCACCACTCGTAACTACAGAAGGCTCTGCTGTGGGCTGAGGTTCTGGTTCTGGCATCTCCTTCTGTGAGGGCTGGCTCTGCCTCTGACTGTGGTTGCGTAGGACACGGTGCGCTGTCTCCATGACCACCTCGGAGTTCAGGCTCTCTGTGGCCATTGCCAGGAGCTCATCGTCATCTTCCCCGGCATCCCAAGCATCACTGGTATTGCTCTCAAACTCCTGGAAGGTGCTGACCCTCTTGGCCTTCACTGGGGTGGTGGGTACCTTGGGCGAGGTCTTGAGCAAGCTACAAAAGCAAATGTGTCTTTATTGTGTACACTCAGCCAAAAGAGAACCCCAAGTGAGAGGACACATCATCTAGATGTGGGTGCCAAGAAAAGCACAATGTGGTGGCATCAAAATAGGACTCAGCACTGCACAGGCTACGGGATGGGGAGGGGGCGTCTCAGGCAAGAGCCACCAAGGACCATAGAACTAGAGAGGTGCCAAGGCTAGAAAGCACATTCTACACTCTCTCCATCTCAGCCAAGTCCTACAGCTGCAGCTGAGGTGTGCCCGGCAGGAGGAGCCTGCAGAGAACAGAGCCTTTGCATGCACACCCAGAGACGGAACAGTTTGAAGGACAGCCCCCAACCTTGACTATGCATACCATCAGCCCTGGCATAGTCAGGAACTATGACAGGCAGGTGCAGCCCTGGAGGGCCACACCAGCAAGAGCCAAGACCAGGACAGAGAGAGAGTGCAGGACAGAGGAAGGATTCAGATAAGCTATAAGGACAGTCTGGAGTTACACTGTCCTCACGCCAGGCGTGCTGAGTACTGAGTGCCCTCTGTCCTCTGCCCTCTGCCCTCTGATTTGCAGCCCCCACATCCGACTGCCCAGCTACAGGGTGAACTAGGCACAGACAGCAGTGTCTCACAGAGCAAGGGATTAAGCCATCTGCTGACAGAACATGTCCCTTCCCTCAGAGAGTCCAATAAGCTGGCAGAAGCAGGACACTGACAGCCACTTACGTGCCATGTAACAGTGGATCAAAAGGTGGATGCTGGGCTCCATACACATGTTGGATGCTACGAAAACAGGGAAACAAAAAATTAGATCTTTCCCCACCCCAGCTCTGCTGAGAGCCCAACTGGATCAAGAAAAGTGTGACTTCCTTAGCCACATGCCCAGGAGAGGCCACACTCTATCAGCAGCTAGCATATCTTGCCACCCAGGCCTAAGGCCCAGTCTAGTGAGAATGGCACCACAAGGCCCACACCCCCACAACAGGACAGACACCCAGGCCTGTCCTGAAAGCAGGAAGCATGGCTCTCCAGGAGCCACCCAGACCACTGGGAACACCAGGGTCCCTGAGCCACTACTCACAAACGTGTTTCACAAGCAGAACAAACCTCACAAGTTAACTTCACTAGGAATTTCTACCAGGTGCTGTTCTGATTATCCAAATATACCAAAAAAAAAAAAAAAGTAAAGATTTAAGGTTTAGAAAAAAATAAATGCTGTCACTTTTCCAACAAAACCAGCCAGGCTCAGTCAGCGCTTTCGGACCTCAGCTTCTCCAAGTCAGGCACATCCCAGGACAGAGGTGAGATGAGGCCTGGATACTCGTCACCGCGCAGCATGAGAAGCCACGAGAATGAAGCCGCCTCTGAAGACTGGTATATTAGAAGATTAAGAGACTCCGTGCTGCCTTTGGAGAGCTAGAGGCCCAAGCTGACCACCTCCTTTCACTTCCAGGTACAGGAAACAAACAAATCCCTATTCATCAGAGCTACTGTCATCAGTCTAACTGGTACAGTAACACTCTGAGGTTCTGACACAAGACCCTGCTGGAGGAAGAAGCGTGCAAGGAGAAACATGAAGACCAATTCAGGCAAACACATGAATTTTTTTTTTATTGTTTTTAATGAAATCCTGGTACCACAGATGGCTCAGCTGGTAAAGGGGCCTTCTGCCAAGCCTGAATCCTAAGTTCAATCCCTGGGTTCAGTCATCTTCTTGATGAAAGGAGAGAACTGATTCCCAAAGTTGTTCCCTGATCTCCATCCAAGCACTCTGAAACATGCATATGTGTGCACACACACACACACACACAAACACATAAGTAAATGTAGTATTTTTTTAAGTAAGTTAAAAGATGTTGTTTTTAAATTTTTTCTATCCACTACGCTTTGATTGCATTCATCCCCTTTCCCAGCAACTCCCCACCTCCATCACAAAAAAGAAAAAACAAAACAAAACAAAAAAAAAAAAAAAACAGTAAGACAAAACATTCCAAAACAAAATAAAAAGTGCACAGAACAATAGAGTCCATTTTGTGTTGGCCAACTACTCCTGAGCATGGGGCCTACCCTGAAGTGTGGTTAATATACCCAGCCAGTGTCCATTACAGAAAACAGATTGTCTTTTCCTAGCAGATATCAGTTGCAAATAGTTTCCTGGTTAAGGGTGGAACTTTACTGTGTCTGGTTTGAACTTGTGCAGGTCTTATGCATGCTGTCACAGTCTTTGTGAACTCATACATGGGTCATCCTGTGTGTCTGGGAGATGCTGTTTCCGTGGAGTCCCCCACCACCTCTTCTAGCTTTCACATTCTTTCTGCTGCCTCTTCTGCATAGATCCCTGAGCCTCGACGGGAGGGGTTTGAGGAAAACATCCCATCCAGGGCTGGCTGCTCCGAAAAGTCTCTCACTCTCTGCCCATGGTCCAGTGCTGATTTTGTGTTAATTCCCATCTACTGCAAGAAAAAGCTTATAATACATTTTAGAATTAAATCTTGGAGTGGGAGAGATGCATCATCAGTTAAGAGGACATACAGCTCTTGCAGAGGACACGAGCTCAATTCTAAGTAACCACATCAGGCAACCTAAAGCTACCTATAACTCCATCGCCAAAGAACTAGATGCCCTCTTCTAGCCTCCATGCACACATCCCTACACAGACATGCACATAAACATAATTAAAAGTATAAAAAAAAAAAGGGGGGGGTCACTAAGACAACTCAGTGAATAAAACTGCTTACCCCTAATCCTGACAAACTGAGTTTGTTCAATCCCCAAGACCCACATAGTGGAAGGAGAAAACAACGCCTACAAGTTGACCTCTGACCTCTGCCTGCATGCTATGGCACTTAACACACATAAAAAAAAAATGTATTAAGATTTTTTTTTTAAATCATGATAAAATAAATCTCCTTACAAAAATAAACCCTACCTTCCTGACTCTGCAATGGGCTGGGACGTATTCCCTGTGTTATTACTTCCTCCTTCAGTTTACTTAAATCATTTATTCGCCTTCAGGTGTGTTACTCGATGTGTAAAGAGACTAGAAGCAGCATGTGTAAGTTTAAAAGCTCACTATGAGGTGGACAGTGCTCGGACTTCCCTGTACATACCTCTGCAACTCCTTGTAAATCTTAATTATTTCAACATTAAGCGTTTTAAACACCACAGGAATAGAATGAGCTCTGGTTACCTCATCTCTGGCCTGTGCCACCTCCCTGGACAGTATCACTTCTAATTTCACACTGTGCTGCCATATGGCTGCAACATAATGAGTTTACCCAAGGTTGACTGTGAAACACAGAACTGATTTTAAATTGTTTGTGGTTACAAGGATAGCAATAACCCCTCTGGAGAGGAATGCCTACACACCACTTGATAACCTCCTGAGGACAAATTCTTGCAATGGGAATGCCCTGGGCATAAGGCACACACTTAAGGAGGTTTGGCCATGCTGCCAAAGGAGAGTCAAGCAGTTCCCTTTCCCCCAGCAAGGGCTGGCGGATGGCCAGCTACCACTACATGGACAGAAGGAAAGCGATCTTTGTGCTGGCTCTGTGCCTCAGATATTGTTCATGGTACCTCTTCTTTTTGTAAACTATCCATGTCCTGTGTCCATCTGCTAACAAGGGCTCACCTTCTTACTGATTTGCAGAGTGAGAATTCCTGTGTCATTCACGCAGTATGGCCACCAAAACAGTAGTCCCACCAAACATGTCAATGTCCAGAGCCTATAGGTTTATTACCCCTTCCAGTACAGCCATCACTTTGTCATTGAACAGTTCAGCAGGAAACTTTTAAAAAAGCAATTGGCCCAACACCACTGTTTCCAGAACCTCTCCTCACTGGCTTAAGGACATCTTTAAGACAAACTAAAATACAGCGGAGTTTTGTTTTCAGTTCATTTGAATGCCTATAGCACAGTATCTTAATTATATAAAATGTTAGCTTTTATAACTTAAAAATTTTAGTGGAATTTAACAAACACTTTTTGGATAGTAACTACATGACCAGATAGCAGGAAGGCAAAAATAGGAACAATATCATCTCGTTCAAGGTGTTAAGATACTCAAGGTGTGCCAATGAAAGTCAACAACAGCCTAGTGTAATAACGCCCTGTGATCACGTGTGCTACAGGAACACAGCATGGGCTCATTAAATTCAGTCATGGTTTTCCTTTGAAAAACTGTTACACCTATACCTAAGAAAAGAGGGGCAGACAGAAAATTCCAGACAGATGGGGCTGAGGAGATTGCTCAGTGGTTAAAGTGCTTGTCATGCAAGCAAGCAAAAGGATAGGAATTTGGATCCCAGGACCTGTGTAAATACCAGACTGGTAAGTGAGTATGGGCTGCTCATCTGTAATTCAACCTCAGAAGGTGGAGACAGAGAAAACCTGGCACAGTGTGGCTAGCAGGACCAGTGATACCACATCACCCAGTTCTGGGGTAAGCAATGGAAAAGCGGGGAGCAGTGGAGGAAGACTCACATTTTAAATGGGTAAATACAGTTACATGGATTTGAAATGGGTGAGCGCAGTTGCACGGGCTATGAAATGGGAGAACTAACATTCTTGCTGAACCTTGACTACAACACCAGAGCTTCCACCTGACCGGGTTTTCTCTCTTCAACCCCAGACAATACTCTATGAGAAAACCCAAACTAGTCACAAGAATTGCCCATGAGTATCTACCCATCTCAACTGACCATGACAACTGACAGCTCGAAGCCAGCAGCCACTGGCCATAGTATACGAGAAAGTGAAGAGCCTTATTTCATCCCCAACCTTCAAGTCTGCCCAGTGACTCCCAGAGCATCCTGGGGTAAGAACCAGGCTCCCATTCCCCCGTGGACTACTGAATTTCTGTCCACAGAACCCAGGAGACACAGATGTGTGCTCTACGTCAAGGGAGACAAAAAAGCATATAATTACTCAGATTGCACAACCTGGAGTGTCCTTTCCCCAAACCTTATGGAGGTGTCTAACACTGGCGTAGAGTTCTCAGGATGAAGAGTCAAAAGGCCCAGGTGCCAATTCCAGCGCCAACACTTACTGGCTGGTAAAGCTTGAGGAAAGTCAACTCTCTGATCTTTACGCTCCTCATACTAGGAGCTGAAATGAGAATTTGCACGGGGTGTGGCTTGGATGCTGGTACACTGTGCTTGCCTGTGTGAAAGCCTGGCTTCCAAACAGAAACAAAGTACACACTGTGGCCCAGACAGCCACAGTGGTAGCCCTGTGTATACAGACCATGACCCCCATAGGGCGCCTGTCACCACAGCCAATCTACCTTGACTCCAATATTCACATGCTTCTTCTTCCCCAATATATTCATATTCAAAACAGTAGGCAGCTTGGCCTGCAGGGCACTATTTGCATGTCATTTTCATAAAAGTCTCTGCAGCATTATCAAAGACTTCAGGCCTTTCCCTCTCAGCAGCCCGGGAAACTCATTAATTCTTCATAGGCAAACCACTTGTATTTATTGAGTAGAAAATGTTCCAACAAAGTTCAAGCTCAGACTTAAAGGAGCCTTGTTTTTATCATTTTAAAACTGCATTTATTTGGGCTACCATTGCTAAAAAAGAAAAACAACCATCAGTGAAGCCACGGAAAAGCAGTGGCAAGTGACATATATACTTCCTTCAGGCCAGGAAACCTTTCTGTAAAGAGCATTCATGGCTGGGGGTGTGCTGCAGAGGTATGTGTGTAGGTTGGTCCCTGACCCCTCCCAAAAAAGTACAGAAATGTTCTTGAATACATCTTTTAAAACTCCTCAGCCACC